TCCTGGGAGTTGCTGTTCAGAACTTCAGATTATTCACAAAGGCGTGCACAATCACTCTACCACATCGGTGCAGAGCTTTAGAAGTGTGTACAGTGTGGGCGAAAGGATTTGCAGCTTTTATAATGCACAACAATACATGTAGCCTGCTTTTCATTTTGAAAATTCCCTAAAAATTGGCATACAAAACCTTTCTTTTTCATTGTCTGAGAAGTTACTAAGTAATTTGTAAAGTTAGTCTAAGGTTATTTTTAGGTTAAACCGGTTCCCGACATCAGCAGTCTGGTACCCGGTCCTGATGCACAGCCCTAATGCACAGCCCTAATGCACATTGTACAAGTTTGTGACTTGACTGAATTCAAACATTTCTATCTACCGTAGGCTCTGTTTGCTCAGTCATAAAACTTTCATAGTGTTTGATCGTAAAAGGTTCCCAGCTCTGTCTGATGCTTTATTGATCATTCCCGCCGAGTAGGGTCGAGCCTTACGTCTGAATAATGGATTTTTGGACTGCTTTCAAAAGTTGTTGTCATGGCAACTGGTGTTGACTGTCTGAAGAATTTATGTGGAAGCCTTCAGTTGGTAGCATAAATGCACACACGGTTAAATTTCAAAGCTCCCACAATGACTGCTACTAGTGGCTAACATGCTTGTTCAAATAATGTGATTTTGGATATATTTTTCCAAGCGCATTGTTCATGTAGACTGTAGAGTACATTTAGGTTAAGATATTTGAAAATGAATGCGAATGCGAATTTGTGACGCCATGGCAAGTTTTCAAGTTGCGATTTCTCAAAAGTTGAGCACATTTTTAACTCAGATTTTTGCAGCGAATGTTTCATGACCTCGAATTTGTTTTGCCTTCACGTGAGGTGTGAACCTGTCTTCAAGGGGTACAAAAGTGTGACGTTGGATTGGGAAATGAAGCAGGAGAATTATATCAAGTTGTTTGTCCTCTTTTCTCTTTGAGTACATTCCCACCTCATTGTTCAGGAATGTGCTCAAACATTTTTTAGGACTTTCGAGGCAAATTTTACCAGATGCCGGTATGTACAATGTACATGTACACAGACAAACGTGTGTTCACCGTCGATCGTGGACGTCCTATTGTCCCTCTTTTGTTTGTACTCTAACTTTTTAGGAAGACTCCCATAGGTTTTGTACACGACCCCAATCGCGGACGTATGCTGGGAATCGTGAACGATATTGTTCTCTGGTATTTTTCATCCAAGGTTGAAAAGATAAACACGTAGAATGTTGTACATTGTGCACGGACCCCCTGGCAAGCGTAGGATTGTAAAACAATTATGAATGTACGTGTACGTTTAATATACAGTATCTGAGACCAAAAACCTTCGTACCAAAAGGAATAAATTATTAAAGATTTTGCGTTGGTTAAGTGCTTTGCTTCAGCGATCTTCTTTCTTTGAAGTTAATGGACCATGGCAAATAGGGTTCCAAGCACTTTGTGTGTATGCACTTTTAAAAAGAACAATTAAAACTCTCAAGGAATACATGTACATGTAAATAGGATCATTTGCATTTTAACCTTGTTGTTTCATAGCAGCAAAATTACTCGTCCACGGATGTGTAACCGATTGCAAACAAGATGTGGACTAACTCAATTTGGCAAATTGGGGGCAGTATTTGAACAAAGGCAATTTGTTTCCAACGATGGTCAGTCGAGTCGACCATCGTTGGAAACTGATACAAAAAATCCACTTTTCTTAAAAATGACAGCACATCAGGTGCCATGATTTCACAGGATGCTTTAAGACTATTATTCACTTACAGTCAAGTAACGTATTTCAGAATAATTTAGGAGTTTTGTTTTTTGATGTTTGCAAATGTTGCATACATGTACATGTGTACCTTTAAGTACAAATTTAGAGGCAGAAAAAAAACGAACCTGTTGAAATTTCAGCTCAGTACATACTATACATTTTGAGAAGAAAAAAAAAGAAACCAACAAATGTATGAACATTTTTTGGCCTCAAAAGTGGATTCTGTCTCAAGTGCTTCAAAAGATCATTTTGATATTTTGAATTGCACCCCCTCATATACAGTCCCTACATCAGCACATGGGACGTGATTCTCATTTAGCTGGTTAGTGGCTGGTTAATATACACACTATTTCACAGATTGTAATATTTTGTTTAAGTGTGCCTGCAGACACACTTTTTAAAACCACCATAAGTGATTGTTTTCTTCCAAACTACATCCTTTCACGCGGAATAATTTTACAGGGTATTCCTTGCTTAGTAAATTGGATTTGGAAGGTTCTTTAACACTTGTAACAGGCAATTACCAATATTCCTGATGCCATTAAAGGTAGAGAAGATCATTTGTCAATTGTACACATTTTAATTTGAAGCAACAAAAGTGCTCAAAATCTGAAGACAGGTGCTTAACAACTAACCTGATGAAGTTTTAGCTCAGTGAATGCTGTATGTTCTGAGAAAACAATAATTCTAGGATCTTGATTTCAATTCAAAAGTTGCAGTCATGTTTCGAATTGCACCCGAAATCAGCGTCCGGGACATGCTGTCATTCAGCCGACTGCAGCTATGCTAGATGTATGTCACACACTGAACCGACGAATTGTAGCAACCATCACACACGCCTGTGTGTCGTGTCAATGTTTGAGCGCACCCGTTCATGGCTTTGCACAATTACGAACCAACTACTAATGGAAAGTTCCCAAAATGCGTCTTTTTAGACACATCTTTTGAAATGACCTTCTTTTGTTGGTTTCTTCAAAATGACAGCGTGCCAGAAAGAATAATTTCACATGGAGTAGTGTCATTACTATCTTTAAACCAAGTACATGTACATGTTTGTATACTTTTCAACGATAATTTTGTCAGTCATTTTTTGGATAGCTGCAAATGATGTTCTCTACCGGTTACTTTAATTTAAAGGGAATGTACATCATTGGTCTTTTGCTGTAATTTTCAGTGATGAACTATTTGAGGGGTTAGTTTAATAGATCAAATATTGTGACTCCACTAAAGATGAAATGGATCAATTTATAGATGCCGGAAAATTGTAAGGTAAGGGAACCAGTCTAGCTGGCCTGCACCCGTTCACGAACATGTAACCAATAGCAAACAAAATTTTGACTGAAAAAAAAATGGTAAATTTGGAGCAGTAGTTGAAAAATAGTTAGGTTTTTCCAACGGTGGTCGGCCGACCACCATTGGAAATTTATACAAAAATACCATTTTCTTGAAAATGACTTCACACCAGGTGCCATAAGTTTACAGGATGCTTTAGACTGTCATTAACCAACATCCTTGTAAGGTATTTCGTAAAAACTTTATTAGTAGTTTTATTTGTTGATGTTTGCAAATGTTGTATATTCCCTTTAACTCTTTTAGAACCTTCCCCCATTTAATTATAGTCTGATATTTTCAGCGAAAAGCAATATTCGTCTCATTTCTCATCAACCCCCTGCTGTGCATCATTAAGCCAGATTAGCCTTCCTCAAAAGCGATTTTCTTTTGTTTCATTTTTTTTTTCACGTACATGTAAATTGCAGCAGTGTTTTGTGTCTGGTCAGTCGGTTGGAATTGAGGCATTTTGTCAGGGGGGTTTTGTGAGTGTCCAGTGACTGTGTTTGATGTGTTTACCTCCGCCTGTTTGCTCATTGCGCCATGGGTGTTAAAGTCAGAACCTTGAGGAAAACTTACTGTGAAAAGGGTATTGTTGATTCAATAATGTGTGAATAGCTCGGTGACAATATATGTATTTGAGGTTTGCTCAAATCGCTTTAGGGGTACAGACAGTAGAAGCTTACATGTTCATACTGGGTACCGGTGTGGGGTACGTACCGGTACTCAGAAGTCTAGTGCATACATGTAGCTGAAAGGTGCATAAGATCATTTGCATAATTTAATATATTTTTTTCTTTAATTTGAAGCAACAAAATTTCCCACAATCACTCGTAGGGCAAATAACAACTGTTGAAGTTTCAGCTCTGTGAATACTGTGTTTTTTAAAGGGAATGTGCATTATTGGCTTAATTTTGCTGTAATTTTCAGAAATGAACTATTTGAGGGGTTAGTATAATAGATCAAATATTGTTACACTGACATTTTTGAAGTGCTGTGTTCGAAAAGGTTGGAAAAACCAAGAAAAACAAAAATGTTCAAGTAGTCTGGCTCCCTGACTCCACAAAAGATAAAATGGATCGATTTATAGGTGATGGAAAATTGTAAGGCAAAGGAACCAGTCTAGCTGGCCTGATCGAACCCGTTCATGAACATGTAACCATGCAATAGCAAACAAAATTTGGACTGAAAAAATTTGTAAATTTGGAGCAGTAGTTGAAAAATAGTTAGGTTTTTCCAATTTTTTTAAAAAGTATGTCAGTTGACACACTTTTAAAATCGTGTTCAATGACTGTTTACTTCAAATTATGATATTTGCGACTGAATAATTTCACAGGGTATTTGGTGCTCAGTCATTTCTGTAGTTTGTGCAAGGTTTTTGGTAGGGTTTGTTTCTGGATAAAAATATAACCAATGTTCCTACGAACATCTTTAAAAACAGCAGGGGAGTCAGGTTGGCGTAGCGGTACTTTCCTTGCCTTCCACCGCTGTGTCTCAGGTTCGAATCCCAGCTGAGCCAACATGTGGATTGGGTTTTCAGTCGCTGCCTGCTTCTGTGGGTTTTCCCAGAATATTCTTTTGGGGATTTTCCTCCCACCTCTAGAACTGTCATTTCTTCTCACTGTCTTCTCTCTACGGGTTTCTTCAGGCTTGCGAGCTACAGTGCCTAGGATGCTTTTGAGGAATGCTTGGTTTCTAAATCAGAAATAATAATAATGACAGTGTGTTGAAAATGCCAGGGCGATTTTTGACAATTTGAGGAGTAAACAGAAAGCACTGCCACTTACAAGTAACTGTGCTTCAAAGACTAATTAAAGGTGTAATCTAAAAACATTCATACTAAACCAACAAAATTACCTTGATCAAACGTTTCTCTGTTTGCATTACCAGATTGTTGTTCTTCTGGATCCCATGGAAGATCCCGATGATATTCTCCGAGCAAATCGATCCAGGGAGAAGCACTACGCGTTTGACCGCTCCTTCGGGGAATTTGCCAGCCAGGTAAATGATTGGAACTTTATTTATTACAAAATGTGTACCTATACATACATGTTGGTGCTTATCAATTCTGCAGGCATGTTATAGGAACAGTAGTAAAAGGATCGGGTGTGGCCCTTCCCTTGTTTGAGGCCTGTGCTCCCTTGAGCCCCCCCCCCCCTTCCCCATTCCCGCACTCAGAATTCTGAGAATGCTTGTTAAAGGTATAGTCCATCATTTGTAATCTGTGCATTTTGTTCGTTTGAAGCAACAAAAGTGCTCAAAATCTAAAGAAGGGTGCTGAACAACTAACCTGATGAAGTTTCAGCTCAGCTTCAACTGTATATTTCGAGAAAAACAACATTCTAGGATCTCGATTTCAAATCAAAAGTTGCTGAATCATGTTTTGAATTGGGCCTGAATTCAGCGTCCGAGACACGTTCTCACTGAGCCGATTGCAGCTACGCGATGTCGCGCACCGATGCGACGAATTATAGCAACCGCCCGCGCGTATGCATCACACCAATGCTTGCGCGTGCTTCGCCGAATAAAAAATGAACTACTGACGGAAATTTCCAACGGTGCTTCTTAAGACGTTGGAAGGCCTTTTTTCGTTGATTTCTTCAAAATGACAGCTTGCAGGAAAGAATAATTTCACAGGGAGTTTAGTCCCCTTACTATCTTTCAACCAAGTATGTTTTTCAACAATAATTACGTCAGTTACTTTTTGGATAGCTGCAAATGTTGGACTCTGGCTTTAAAAAAAGATTGAATATCATCGTCCCCCTCCCCCTCCCCCTCCCACGTCTAGAAAACGAGGCCCTGTGAGCCCTGGATTTGGATATTTTACTTTGGCACGCCTACGCGACATCACTTTTAACCCTCCTGCTATCTGAATAGTCACAGACAGTCACAAAATCAGTCCTCTTCCCTTGCCATGCCTTTTACACAGGCTCGTCAAAAACAGGCGGATCATATTTCAAGCAAGCACTCTGTCTAGTCAAATTCAGTCAACAGACAAAAGCAGGAAATTGGTGGCACAGCTGTCTTATCAATCGCTTACAGTCAGAGCACACTGATTTTTGCACTCTGAAAAGTGAAAACAAATTTGTGGCTGGTCATGAGAATTGTCTTCGAAAAAACCTGGTACCATACTACCATTATTGTTGACATTTAAAAAAAATGAGCACAAACATATCAAGGAAAGAAAAATTAGGTTTTCATTGATCTTGAAATTACTCGGATACTATTCTGGACCTGGACATTGATTTTTTGAAATGTCATACCGGTGCATGTTTGCTCTTATAAAACAAAATGGTACTTTCCTTGGCAATAATGCGTGGTACTGGCGCCAGTGACCGTGAGTCTGTTGTTGACAGTATTTTACGAGCTTTCTCAAAGTCGAAAGTACCGTATACTGCACACGAGAACGAGGACTTACCGGGGTAGTAGTATATTACGATCGTAATTAATGTACCTTGCTAACAATGGTACATGTACTAGTACTGTCGGTGGGTTTTAAGAATTAATAATGCGCATACGGTACATTGGCCAAAAATAGAGGAAAAAAGAAAAGAAAAACAAAAAAAGAGGCACGAAGTCACATTCCCTGCCCACCCTCAGAAAAATGATAAATCGGGAAAATGCTGGAAATTTTAGGGATTTGGGAGAAAAAATGTGCTTAGCCCCCTCTTGAAAAAATCCTGGCAACGCCCATGTGCGCATGTACATATTATGGGTGCCACAATATAGGATTTTAAAGAATGACCCTTTACATTTTTAAGCTCTGGCAGGAACTTCAACATGTCACTTGGTAGTCAGTCGGGATGTCTGTCTGTCTGTCTGTCTGTCCCCGGAAAATTGACTAAAAGTATGGTGTTCCACATGTGCCATTGGCGTCGCATTTTTTGGCGTCGCATTTTTCCGCTCTGACAGGGATCGTTCTTATCGATTTCATGCAAGACTTTTATGCAACACATTCAGAGCTTATTGCGCACTCGCACTTGTTTTTAAAAGGGTGGGTGGTTAAAAAAAATTGGGAGGGAAAGGAAGGGCGCTCAAATTTTTTATAACCAGAAAAAGGGTAGGGTGATGGTTAACGTTGTGTTTGCATGGATTTGTAATTTCGTAAAGTGAGCATCAACTGTTCATTCTTTGTTTGTTGCGCTGTTCATAGGCTTCGCTGCACAGTGCTGCCAGACCGTACTGCCGACGAACTTGCCCCAGAAAATGAAATAGATTTGTTTTTAAATGAAGGACGATGTCCCCAAAATAAGGTTGGGGCAGCTTCATAAGTTTGTATTTTTTTTTCAATAAAAAAATTTAGGTTCAGCATTATTTTCTGGATTGGGTGGGGTAAAAGAAACCACAGGTATTTTTCAAATATTTTTCTTGGCCTTATAAATTTTATTTAAGTCTTTCTCTGACGCTGGATACAAACTAGCAGGCATTGTTGCATCATGTGCAATATCGAGCAGAGAAAGCCTGCGATGCAAGCAAAAATATGAAAATCAATATTTAGCGTCTCGTACAGGAACAATAGCCCAGTAATGAATGTTCCAGATCCACTACCCCCCCTCCCCGCCAAGCAGGGTATATACGTTGTCATGCCAACGTGGTAAATATTTACCACGTGGATGTTGCTGAAGGGCAGTACCAATTACAGAGTTGAGTACCCATCGTTATTGGGACTGCGCGTGTAATTAGGTACCTCGCTAGGCTCGTATATATTTGTTCCTCTCTTCCTTGGTCTCTGTGTTTTTTTTATTGGAATATTTTTGGCCGGCGTGTTTCTCTTAGACTCATATTCTCTTCCTTTGGATGGACTTTGACTTGGATCTGTCTTAGAGACTATACCGTACGGTACATGTGTTTAAGGATCTGTTGGCCAAGGACATACATGTAATTTCAAGTGAAGCAAGAACAAATTATATAGAATAGAACACAAAACGTTGTGAGAGGACTAGTGTAGTAAAGTAATCATCAAATAAGCAGTTTTAAGATGCATTCCTAATTACCATCGATATCAGAATTTTCAATAATCAATAGTCCTATATAGGAAATCAAATATCGAGAATATTCCATATTCGATTATTTGATGTAGCAGTTAAAGACCATAAAGATGACACTTGGGTTTTTTATTTCTATTTCATTTTAATCAATCTTAAGTCCCAATTTTCCATGGCTTTATGGAGCACATTGCTCAAACTTTTTAAAACAAATCTCAGCAATGAGAGTTTGTCCAGAACGGGCGGTTTCTTTTGAGGTTTTACGTTGGGGAGACCGTGAATTCCAGCGAACGCAGAGCACAAAGCGACGCCGCTTGGCATTTCGCGATGTTTTTATTTTGAGTCACACGCTGAAGTTGCTGGCAAGTTTATACAAAGTAAAAGCACAAATGGGAGATTTATTTTGACGATGATCTGCATTTTCCATATTTTTGATTTCATTCCTCAATATCAGAAATGTCGACATTTCGATGATTAAAACATTGCTATCAGTATCGATATCAAAATAATAATAATAATAATAATCAAGTTATATTGATCAGGGGTGCTTATGCATTCCCTATGCTGTAGTGATTAACACGCTCAAATTGATTAAATTTTTCAATTGCTATTTTTGTTATTCACTTTTAAATGAGACATTGCAAACAAAACTCCAACGACGTTTAGTTTCAGTATCAGTGGCCCGACAATAAGTCAGCTCTTAAAGGGTGGGTGCATTTGTGGGCAAAATGGAAGCTGTTTTGCACATGGTTGCAGGTGCCCAAAATTGCAGGGAAATTTTTATTTTCATCTAAACAAAACATACAAATTGAGAGTTTCTTTGGAAAGAAAAATAACAGCCTTATTTTTTTGAAGAGCAGGGGGTAGACATCTTTAACCTGGTGACAGATTTTTGTCTTTATTTGAATGCTCCCAATCCTGTTCTGTAAACATGTATTAGTCACCATCATAGAGCTATATTAAATTACTAGAGCGCTAACTTGTCATTCTGCGCGGAGACGCTTTGGAGACGCTTTGAAGCCGCTCTGGGCGCAGACATTTGAATTCATGTGCGTGTTTGTAGAACATAATGAAATTAGATAGATTGAATTTTGAAAGTGTACTCTAAATGCAACGCGCAAGTAGAACATACGCAAACAACTTAAGCGCGTCATTGACGGTTAAAAAAAACGTGACGGCAAAAAGCATCTGCAGCGAATACGCGCACGCGTTGCGCTGTTTTCGTAGAGCAAAATGACACGCTCATTTGCTGATCGTTCGTTTCGGTTTTGGGCGTATCGGCTTCGATAACGCACCGATATGGAAAACAAAAGCAGATATGCAAATAGCCGTACAAAAGCCGTACAAAATTTCTAGGTCTCCATAGGTTTGTGCACAAACATGGATGCGCCCAGCAGGCATTACTTTGTACACGAAGTTAGCGCTCTAGTAATTTAATATAGCTCTATGGCCACCATGCAATGTATTAGTCACCAGGTTTTTTTGGTTGTCTTTAACTCAAAATCAAGCTCCATATTAGTGAGTAAAATATTGACAGAAACCTCGTCTCAGAAATCAAACATTTACTTTAGTCTGCATGCTAACTCACGTGTGTACACATTGTGTAGATCCGTTTTTTGGGGTGTTCAAATTTGTTTTCATCAAGGCAAATCTGACTTGTGCATACCGGTAATTGCACAACATTGACAAATTATCTAATTTGGTGCACCATGTAATATGCTGTATGATTAATCTGTACATTGACTCACGTGAACATTGTGTAGGTCAGGGTTTTTGGGGTGTTCAAATTTGTTATTATCAAGGCAAATCTAACTTGTGGATATTGCACAATGACAAATTATCTAATTTGATGCAACATGCACGGGTAATTAACAAAAAGCTTTGACGATTAAGAGCCAACTATTTATTCGTACGCACAATGCTATGTACCGGTTCATGCATTTGTGTTCAACTATCAGCGGTGTGCTTTTATCAGCCTTCTGCTAATTAAGGCTCGAGCAAAGAGCATTCCATCAG